CCCACCCCCTTTCCCCAGGGCCAGGGGCAGCGGGGCGGGGCAGGGGGCAGGGGGCAGGAAGGAGCCGTCCCGCTCGGCCGCCCGGCCTTCCTGCCAGGGTTAATATTGGAGAGGGGGTGGGAAGAAGGTTGGCAAATATTAATGAGGGGTTGTGGTGCAACTGGTCTCCAGGATGGTGGGGTCTGGTCCAAGCCGTCTTTCCGTGGTTCCTGCCAGGGTTAATATTGGAGAGGGGGTGGGAAGAAGGTTGGCAAATATTAATGAGGGGTTGTGGTGCAACTGGTCTCCAGGATGGTGGGGTCTGGTCCAAGCCGTCTTTCCGTGGACCGTCTTTCCGTGGGGAGAAGGGAAGAGTGGGGCTGACCCAGGTCCCCACCCACCACCTCCCTCAGCAGCATGGCACCTCCACGGCTTGGGAAGGCCTCCAGAGGCCGGTGGGAGGAGGGAAGGGGAAGGAAGAGGTCAGAAACCCCAAACCTTGGGGAGACCTTGACCCCCGGCGCTCGGTTTCTCCTCATTTCACACTCCCCATGAGCCAAACCACCCTTGAAGACCTTTTACTCCGTGGCCAAACACCAACATTGAAGAACTTCCCCCCCAGCCCCAGCCCCGTGGGGCCACCAGCTCCTTCACGCCGAGCAGCCAAAGCAGGAGGAGACCCCGTGGGGCCCGTGGGGCTGAGAGGCCAGGTACCTCCCAGCAGCCTGGGGCCCGTGGGGCTGAGAGGACAGGTCACCTCCTCTGCTCCCAGCAGCCTGGGGCCCGTGGGGCTGAGAGGACAGGTCACCTCCTCTGCTCCCAGCAGCCTGGGGCCCGTGGGGCTGAGAGGACAGGTCACCTCCTCTGCTCCCAGCAGCCTGGGGCCCGTGGGGCTGAGAGGACAGGTCACCTCCTCTGCTCCCAGCAGCCTGGGGCCCGTGGGGCTGCGCCGGGCGGCTCAGCGGGGGGCACAGAGAGCAGCCAGCTCCTCCAGAGGAGCCCGGCCCGAGGAGCCCCCACCCGTGGGGCCACAGGAGGAGAGGAGGGACCTCAGGGCACGGCTGTAGGCTGAGGAGGAAAGGACACGAGGCAGCGTTAGGGCACCAGAGTCCCACCCGTGGCCCGAGCTGGGCTCAGCTTTGACCTTTCACCAGCAAGCAGAGGGAGAAACCAACTCTGAAGGTCCATGGAGATGTCTCTGTGTTTTTTATGAAGCCCCAGTTTCTCTCTTTTCCCCCTCTGGAAGATGACCCCTGGGTGGTTTGCCCCACTCAAGACCAGAGCTCTCCCATCACCTAATGACAATTGTTGCCTCCACCTTGGTGCACCTTCTCAACAGGATCACTTGGGTTGAAGAAGACCTTTAAGATCCAAGTTCAACCATTGAAGAGGTTTCAATATTTAAGGATTGGAGGGTTTTGGGCCCATAATGAGCCTGTTTGGTTTCTTCTCCATGGTTCCTCCTGTCCCACCCCACGTATCACATCAGGGAGGCTGCTGCTTTGCCACCAAGGTCCCTGAAGGACCAAGAAGAAGAAGCTGAGGCAGAAACAAGCAGCAGGGCACCAAACTTGCCCTCTTTGGAGTATATTTTTTGGACCAGTGACCCAGGACTGTGGAAACATCTACCCAAGGTTTGATTTCTCCCTGTGCAAGCAGAGATCCAGGTCTAGGTGCCTCCTGCCCAGCAGCAGGACCTCCTACCTTTGGGGTTTTTGTAGAAGACACAGTTGTTGGCGCAGGTGTCGGGGTGGGAGTCCCAGAACTCGGTCCCACAGCAGCACAGCTGGGGCAAGGTGATGTTCTGGAGCTTCATCTTCTCCCTCAGCTGGGCCCTCAGAGCCTCAACGTACCTGTGAGGGAGAAGATGGTCACCTTGGCCACCAAGGCTCAGCTCCAGGTGAGGAGAGAGGACCTGGGCCTACCTCACGTGCTCCTTATTTCGCTGCTGTTTGTCCTTCACCTTCTTGACTCTCTTCTCCTCCAGTTCAAGCTGGGTGAGGGGTTCAGGAGCTCCCTCACCTGGGGAAGGGCCTCGTTGGTTGGTCCTCTGCATCCTCTGCTCCTCTGCCTGCCGCTGGTTCTCCTTCTTGCTCTTAATCCTGCAGGAAGAGGAGCTTAGAGAAGGAGCTTAGAGAAGGAGCTTCTCCATCACAACCTCCAGCCCGTGTCGTGAGGTCCCAGTGAGGGTGAGACCTAATTCATGGAACCAGAGAATTCTTTGGGTTGGAAGAGACCTTGGAGATCATGGAGCTTCAATTGCTTCAGGTCACCACCAACCCACGTCCCTCAGCACCACATCTCAAGGGCATGGAAAGCCCTCCAGGGGTGGGGACTCCTCCACTTTTTGAGGAAGGTGTTCCTCAGGTCCAACCCCAACCTGCCCTGGGGCAACTTGAGGCCTCTTCCTCTTGTCCTGTTGCTTGTTCCTTGGGAGAAGAGACCAACCTGGCTCCAACCTCCACCCAGGGAGCTGTGGAGAGCCAGAAGGTCTCCCCTGATTCCACCACCACCCACCCTGGCTAGAGCAGAGAAGCTCCAAGGACCCCACACCTCCTCCAAAATGAGCCCCAGGCTGTGTTTGGAGCCAAATCTTCCTCTACTTCCTCAATCTCTGCACCTACACGGTGGCTTTACTGCCCCACCATAAATCTTCTGCTATAGAAACCAAGGTCAAGGCCAACTCCAAGCTTTACACCATGGAGTTACAAACCCAGCCCTTTATCCACGCACACACTGTCCCTGCAAAAAGAAACAAAACCATCTACTAAAACGATACCACGCAAACCAGGATGTCCCTGGTGTCCCACCAGCACTCGTGGGGCAGGAGAAGTTCTCCCAAGGTTCCCAGTGTCCAAATTGGAACGTCAGGAATGGGGCTGGAGGAACATTTGAGCTTCTCTCTCAAAAAGGAGGGTGAAAATTCCTCCCCCCAAAAAATATGAGATGGTTGGAGCTCCATCGTTGTCTTTTTGACCAAGAAGAGGCCCAAAATAATCATCTGGAGTTTTGGTGCCCATTTACAGAGGTCCTCCTGAAGGAACCTCTTAAAAAAGGAGATGGCAATGACCCCACCAAACCCAGTGCTGATGTTCCCAACTCTGGAACACACTGTGAGAACTAAAGAAATCTTTTTATTACGCTTTTTACAGCTCTGAGGGTGAAGGGTCTGATATTAAAAAACCCTTGGAGATAAGATCACAGTTGGATGACAACCACGTGACCTCACCCTGAAGCTGCTAAAGATGAAGCACAGGGGGGTTTGGGACTGGTCCCCAAGGGCCGTGGTTGAGCTGCAGCTCCTCCAACTCTTGTCCAAGCTGCCCAAGGACTCGGAAAGTGGCCGGAGAAGCAGCTCTGAAGACCCAAAGGTCTCTCCTGGAGGGTTGGTTGAAGGAATCCCACCCCAGGGGGCTAAAATAAAGGCCAAGGGATGTCTCTCGTCCCCAGGGACTCACTGGGTGATCCTCTCCTGCCTCTCCTTCTGCTTCTGCTGCTCCTTCACCTGCTCTCGCTCCAGGCTCATGAAGAGGCGCCGGTGCCGCAGGTACTCACGCTGACGCTGGGGGCAAGAGGAAGAACCTTGGGGAAAGACATCTGGGAGAGAAGCAAGGGCAGGGAAACCTCCCACAGCTCACACCAACACCCAGTGTGAGCTCCACCACGGTGGGAAGTGGAAGGTGTGGACTTCTCCTCGTTGGAAGGAGCAGGAGAGCTCATCCAGGTTGAAAGGTGGCTGGAAAAACCCCAGGAGGAAGGGAGTGCTGTAAATCCGGTTATCTCGAGGTGGACCAGAGCCAAGGAGATAAAAAGCAAGGGGCAGAGAGAGGTTCTGGGAGATGGAGAGACCTGAGCAAGCCCCACACCATCCAGGAACCACCACCACGGTTTCCAGCAGGAGAAACACGTGGAAGGAACGACCAAAAATGACAAATTTGTTCCAAGTCCCATCGAGCTGATGGTGGAAACAGCAAGAAAGTCAACACAAAAGCAACGAGCAGCTTTCCTCTTCCACCATTCCCTTCAGAAACCCAGGAGGAACGTTGTCCCAGATTGTCCTGGGTGTTGCCTTGGACACTCAGCATCACACCTCCAGCCTGTGCTTGGTTTGGGGCATTTTTAAGCATTTTTAGCATCTTCTCTCTCTCTCTCCACACTTTACAGTCCTGATGGACCTTAAAAAAGAACCCGGTGGGTTTGTCCAAGACCTGAGACCCCATCACTGTTGGCCAACCCCAGGAGTTCACACCTGAAGGCTTCTCCTGAGGTTCCTCCTCTGAGCCAGCAGCACCCCCTACACCCAATCCCTTCTCAGTGGAGATGAAAAGAGGACTTGGCTCCAGTGGACCAACCTGCTTCTTGGTCTCCTCTTGGTCTACACCATCCCAAGGCATGAGGAGAGCCTGGGAGTGGGTCTGGGGCTTCTGGGCAGGCTCGGGGGAGCTTGAGTCCTTCACTGATGCATCACAGATCTGGAGGAGAAGGGAGGAGGACACCATCAGCACCTTCATGGCCAAGCCTCTCCCGTTCCCTCAGCAAAACACTCCTTGCTGGAGAGGAGTCCTCTCCTGGTGACCCCTCTGGGGTAACCCCCCCATGAGCTCTGCTGGTTTTGGGGGTAGAAGGAACCCAAAGTTCCATTAGAAACTTGGTGAAGTGGAAGAAAAAAACCCCATGAGAATACAAATAATAATAAAAATAAATCCCATGGCCCGAAACCTCAGTGTCCACCTCCACCTTCTGCTCTCCACTCAGCCAGCTGGGGGTGGACCTCGTAGATGGGGCTTAGTGGGGACCTGGCAGTGCTGGGTCAACAGTTGGACTCTATGATCTCAAAGGTCTCTTCCAACCAAAATGATTGGAAATAACCCCAAATCTCAATGATTGGAAGCTCTCAGGACCAACTGGGCCAACCCTGTAGAAGTCTTACCTTTCCAAACTTGATTTTGATGTAGAAGTCATTGTCCAGCTCAGCCTGAGGTGGGGCTGTCCCCTGGCCCTGCAGTTCAGCTGGAAGGTCATGATGTCCCACCAGGAGCAGCTCCTCACTCTCATCCCCCGTGGGCACCGTGGCTGTTGGGCAGGACTCTGGTTTCTGGAGGAGAAGGACATCAGACATGGAATTCAAACATGGCTGCCTCGGTCCTGAGGGCAAACTCAACACAGAACCACAGGAAGGGACCTTGGGAGGTCCCCTGGTCCAACCCCCCACAGGGAGCAGGGACATCTCCAACCAGAGCAGGTTGCTCAGAGCCCCATCAAGCCTCATCCTGAAGGTCTCCAGAGATGGGGCATCAACCACCCCTCTGGGCAACCTGGGCCAGGGGCTCATCACCCTCAGCATCCAAAATTTCCTCCTTGTCTCTAGTCTACATCTCCCTCTTTGATCTTCAGACCATCACTCTTGTCCTGTCCCAACAGGTCCTGCTCAAAAATCTGCCCCCTGCTTTCTGACAGGGCCCTTGAAGTCCTGCAAGGCCCCCAGAAGGTCTCCTTGGAGCCTTCTCCTCTCCAGGCTGAAGAACCCAAACGC